GTCAGGAAAGGCTTTACAAGAAAAAAATTGCTCACCACTGGAGGGCGAGTAGGAGTGCATTAGACGAAGGGATCAAAGCCTATGCAAATACATGGACATGTGAGAACTACAAGGCTTTGGATACAAAGTCAATGGGTCTGATAGAAGATCAAAAGTTCTGAGAACCTTTCCTCCTGAATGTGCTATTTCCTTTATGCCGTAGATTGGGATTGTGAACTAATTCATGGTTGATCCTACAGTAGCATTTCCAAGACTGTAAATCACAGAAGAGACTGCCCATCTTTCCCCTGAGGAGCACTGGTAGATTTGAAGTGCCAGAGAGGTGCCACTTTTAGGTCAGCGGCACAACTCCGTACAAAATACACCACCGGAGCCCTTTATTTCCTTTAAGGAAGCTGAGCTTTAGAAAGAAAACCATGCCATCTTCTGGGTGCCTGTTTCTTCTCATATGCACTCATTCCAGTTTCCACATGAGGCCTCCTGGGCTCCAGCTCCCAGCATCTGGTCCAGCCATTGGCTGTGCTGTGCTGGGGGCTCACTGGGGCCATGGCTCCTCCCTTCCATGGATGTTTATTCTGAACTAAATAGCCAAGCTGGGTAGGCTCATCACACAGCTGAGCTCCCACCAAATTCACCAGCTGGTTTTCATGCTGGAAACTGCCCTATTAGTCAGCCTGATTGTCTTGTCTCTTTTAATAAGGGAGCAGCAAAGAGAGGCAATTGGGAAGCACACTTATAGTGAACACATGTCTGGAGTGAAGGACTCTAAAACGACCCTCCCTCGCCGTATTGCCATGGAACTGGAACCAACTCATAGCTGGCCCTCTGTTGGGTTTCCAGAGACTATATGTTGTATAGGAAGAGATTGTCCATCATTCTCCTGCGGAGCTGCTGGTGAAGTCGAGTAGCCTGCCTTTGGGTTTCCAGTTCAACTCTTTACCCACTAGGCCATCAGAACTCCCACAAAAATCCTGTGCATGGAAACAAGTAGGCATGTGTCACCAGGATGACAGATAAAGGAATGGCAGCATCATGATAGATGGTGAAGAGACTGAGACTGTTAACAGCTTTAGTTTGCTTGGCTTCACAATCAACACTCTTGGCACCAACATCCAAGAAATTAAAAGGCATATTGCATTGGGTAAGTCTGCTTTTAGGGAACTCTCCAAAGTACTGAAGAGCAATGATGCCACTCTGGAGACTAAGGTGCACCTGATACAGGCCATGGTCTTTGCAATTACTTGCTATGCATCAGAGAGCTGAAGAATGACTAGGAATGACAGAAAGAGAATTGATGCTTTTGAGTTGTGGTGTTGAAGAAGAGTATTGAATATACCATGGACTGCTAAGAAAATGAACAAGTTCAGCCCAGAGAGGGTGAGACCAGGCTGCTCCTTGTAGGAAAGGATTCTGAAGCTTCGTGTGACATATTTTGGACATGTTGCAAGGAGGGACCAATCCTTGGAGAGAGACGTCATGCTTGGGAGGGTGGAGGGACAGCACAGGAGGGGAAGGCCCTCTATGAGGTAGACTGATTCAGAGCAGAGTTTAGGGCTACTGAACATAGGGTCACTATGGGTTGCAGGTGACTTGACGGCACATAACAACAACAACAACAAAAACAACTACGGAGCGAGTTTGCACCTGGTGGTGTGAACAGTTAACATGTCTGCTAACTGAAAGTATGAAAAAAATGGTGGATATGAGTCCACTTACAGAAGCCTCTGAGGAAAAGCCTGGTGATCTGCTGTTGAAAAACTATCCGCTGAGAGCCGTATAGCATACTCTTCTGCTCTGATACAAATAGGGTCACCATGAGCTGCAGGAGACCCAACAATGGTTTTGTTGTTGTTTTTAAGAAGGAAATTCACACTTTAAAATTAAGCTTCTGAAAAGGCCACCAAGCACAACAGCTGTGAGTTCATGTTCCAGACACTGGCCAGTCTCCTCTCTGCTGAGTACATGACATACTAGCAGGTACCTGGAATATTCCTTTCGCAATCTGTTCTCTGGGAAAGCTTCTAAACCCGGCTGGTCCTCACACTTCCAGGAGAGTGTCTTGATTGTGGTTAGGCAGGGGAGACTTCACTGCATATGGCATGTCCTTCCACATGCTCCCAACTTCCTCTAATGTTACTCCTCACATAAAAGGCAACAAATTTCCAACTGCCTACAGTCATTCCATCCAGGGCTTCATCTTTTTTGCCCTTAGACCACCTAGTAAAATAAAGTCTCTTTCTCCATCTGAACTACTTAGCCTGATTTTTTTTTCAAGCGTCTTGCAGAGGGCCACTGTCTTTTCATACTTAAGGGCTCCCCTCAGACTGTGAGATGAGAGACAGGATTCTTATGAACATAACAAACTAGTCTTCTATTTCACTTAGAAAAACCTTAGCAAGTACAACATATAGAACAGCAGATCCACTAGATGCACAAAAAGTTTTGCAAATCACACTATGGAGAAACCCTGGGTAGAGCAAAAGGTCATACGCCCACTGCTAACCAAAAACGTCTGTGGTTCAAATCTACCTAGAGATTTCACAGGAGAGGTCTGAAGACTTGCTTCCAAAATGTCAGCCATTGTGAACCCCATGCTGTACTGGTTCCCCGATATCTACTAGACACACATAGAGTTTCTGTGCAATGGAATTCACTCAAAGACAACTGGTTTGCGCTTTTTGCTTTGGCTTACAGGGGAATATCTTAGCCCTTTAACCTATGTTTGTTAACATTAACTGAAGATTACCACAGGGTATTCATTCAGTGACTCCAAATAGGATTTAACCTCAAAATATTCTTTCCTAGAGAATTTTGTGGGGTCATTGTTCCATGAAAAGTATATTAAGGAAGTCCTGACTTTAAAAATGCCGTTTAATTTTTCATCCAGTCATCATCAGTGACAGTAGAGATGGCAGAGTCAGTGGCCACATGCGCTAAAAGTAATCTAGTGAAAATCCTATGGATCAGAGTAGTTGAATCTGCAATTGATTATGGAAATGGCGCAAGATTGGGAAATGTTCTGCTCTGTTGTACATGAGCTCACTAACAATCAGAACTAACAGCAGTGCATGTTATATTGGTAAATACCCAGTTAATGTCACTTATTGTCACCATCATAGTCATCTTTAGTATTAGACAAAGATATAAAGTAGGAAAATAATGCAAGGAAATTCATTTAAGGCTAGGGAAACAGAAAAACAAATTCAAGTAAATTCTGACTCAGAGTGATTTAATAAGACACTGCAGAACTGTCTGTGGGGTTTCCAAGACTATAAATCTTTAAGGATGCAGGCTGTCCCACTTCCTTCTATAGAGCAAAGTAGCTGGTGGGTTCAAGCCCTGGACATTTTGGTTGGCAAACAAATAATCTAACCACCTAACCACTAGGGCTCCTTGTAAAGTAAGGTAGTGCCTGATGATCCTAGACTCAAACTCAAACTCATTGCTGTTGAGTCGATTTCAAGCAATAACAACCCTCTATCTGGTTTCCAAGGCCACAAATTTTAATGGGAGCAGAATACTCTCTCTCTCTTCTGCAGAGAGGCTGATGGATTTGAACCAACAATCTTTTGATTAACAGTCCAACACATAATGTACTAAACAGATAAGGTTCCTTAATTACAGAGATATAACTAAACAGGATGGGACTAGATCTCATAAAGGGTATGACATTTAGTATGAGCTTTGCAGAATCAACAGGAGTATAGACGGCGCTGGCAGACAGGACTGTGCATGAAACCAACAAGAAGCAGGAAGAAGCCTTACACTTGGACCAAGTAGTTCAGGTGAGCTGTGAGAATGACAAGAGTGGTGAGTTGTGAGAAGGAGGTGGAGGTGACAACAGCTGAAAAGTTCTACAAAAGATCAGAGCAGAGAAGGCCTCAAATGCAGAGTAAAGGGCTTTACTGAATGTGGATTAGGAAGCCTATGGGCAGGTGAGAAACAGCATTTCCATGTTTCAAGGAAAATTACTTGGTGGCAAAACACAAACACGGTCTGTAGAGTCAGAATGCTGCTGTGCTAGAGGTAATGGCAGTGGTTGGGAAGGGGGTGGTGATAAGGAGGCCAATAAGGGGTGAAACAAAGTGAAGAGGTGGGCAGAGAACATGCAGGGAACAGCTATGTCAGCCTCAACTGGGTTTGGAGAGCAGCTTCCCTAAACTGAACATTGTTGTTGTTGTGTATTGTAGAGTCAGAACCAAACCATAGCTGTCCCTCCGGTGGGTTTTCAGAGGCAGTTAATTGCACGGGAGCAGATTGCCCCCACCCTTCTCCCATGGAGCACCTGGTGGCCTCGAACTGTGTGCCTTTGGAATTGCAGCGCAGTTTCTTGCCACTAGGCCACTGGAATTTTACCTCCTAAAAATAAGCATCTCCTGCACTGTCTGTGGCTTCTAGTGTGGCTGAGCCCTGAAAATGGTCTCACCCTTCAAGTTTAATTGGCCTTTCAATGAAAACACTTGGCTAATGGCCTTTGACTTGTCCAGTGGTGCTCACTCCCTCCATGTGGGCCATGTCTGCCCATTCACAGGCGAGACACACAAGCCCCTCCTGAGAGGTGCACCTCTAGTCCCCTTTTTTGTCAACTGTGATGCATGGTCAAGGCTGACACCTCGTGTAAGCTGACTTTTCCTAGTTCTTCATAGCTATTCCAGATGAAATACTACACATGTGAGGTTGGGGTGGGTGAGAGGGAGAAGGTCTTTGAAAAACCTTTAGAAAACAACGAAGAAGGGAGGCAGGATCCTTAAACTATCAACAAAGGGGTCAAACAGACTCACAGCAAGAAAGTGCCTTTTAATCTCGGCCTCTAGCAGAAGCTTATGATAGAATACTGACCAAATCTAACCTGCCAGCTTGTTCCAGACACATGAATAAATGTCCCTCTCCCAGGGCTGAGCCTCTGAATGGTGTTCAGGCAGATGGAATGAGGACATCATTATAGGAAAATGGGCTGGGGACGAGGGGTGCTGGCCTGAGCTTCCAGGCTCATTTGTTACCTTTTTGAAATCCCCGCTCCTTTGATATTCACACAGCATCATGTCAAAGAAGATTGGTATGGTGGCTTTCCGCAACTCAGTCTCCGGGATGAGCGTCATCTCTAATATGGGCCCCACCATGCCGGGGATGAAGCAGATTTTGTTCTGGCCTGAAAAAGAAGATGGGCAAGGGTGTATAAAACCATTTCAGGGCACACTGGGGCCCCTCAGAATAAGCCTAGCCAAAGAAGAAAGGAAGGCATGATGGGGGGGGGGGGAAACAATCGTTAACATTGTTTACCGGGAGCCAGGCACCATTTTGAACACTTTACATATATTAACTCTGGGAAGAGACTCATGCATCATCTAAAACGAGGCCCATTATTGAGGATAATGACACGGGCGTATGTAAAACACTTCACTGTTTACAAGGATTTTCACCTGCATTATTTCCTTTGCAAATACAGCTCTGATTTACTATGTTAGCAATGGCTAAGCACAGGGATGGCTGAAAAATACGTGCGACTGCGACACCACAAGCCGAGCATCAGAGATTTGGGGAGCAAGCTTTTAACTAGTGGTTTTCCAAACTCAAAAACTCATTGGCTTTGAGTCAGAGCCAAGTCATAGCTCACCCTCCAGAGGTTTCTGAGGCTATAAATCCCACAGTGAAAGTTTATCTTTCTCCCTTGGAACAGCTAGTTCATTTTAACCACTAAGGAGACAGACTCTTTGAGTTAATGGCACTCCAGTGCGCCTCCTCAAATTGGTTTGATAGCCCATGAAAATTAAGGGTTGACATTAAAAACCTACTGTAATAGTATGACCAGTGGAAACAATACTCAGACTAGCCCTGTGTAGACGAGCTGATTCTGATTTTGATTCTGATTCTGTGCTACAGGGTAGAATCTCTTGAAAGAGTTTTCTTGGTTATTGAGATTGTACACAGCTTTAGTTTGCTTGGCTCCATAGTCAACAGTCTTGGCACCAGCAGCCAGGAAATTAAAAGGTGCATTGCCATGGGAAAGTCTGCTGTTAGGGACCTCTCCAAAGTACTGAAGAGCAATGGTGTCTCTCTGGAGACTAAGGTGCGTCTGATACAGGCTATGGTCTTTGCAATCACTTGTTATGCATCAGAGAGTTGGACAATGACCAAGGAGGACAGAAGGAGAATTAATGCCTTTGAGCTGTGGTGCTGGAGAAGAGTATTGAGAATACCATGGACTGCTAGGAAAACAAACAGATTTGTCCTGGAAAGGGTTAAACTGGGTGGCTCCTTGGAGGCCAGGATTCTGAGGCTCCATCTAACATACTTTGGACATGTTGTGAGGAGAGACCAGTCCTTAGAGAGGGACATCATGCTTGGGAGGGTGGAGGGACAGCGCAGGAGAGGAAGGCCCTCTATGAGATGGATTGATTCAGTGACTGGGATAATTGGGATGGAAGTGTCAGAGACAGTGTGATTAGCACAGGACAGAGCGGAGTTTAGGGCTGTTGTACATAGGATCGCTATGAGTCGCAGGCGACTCGACGACACATAACAACAATATAAGCAGATTGGCTAGTCGTTCTGGCATCACGTTGTTTAGTGGGTTCAAACTACCAATCTTTAGGCTAGTAGTTCAATACACACCATTTGTGCCACTGGGTTAAAATCTTGTTGATTCAAATAGAAAATTATCCAAGAAGTCTTGCTGCTCCTGCTTCATTTCAAGGTAACCTTCTTCCATTGTTCCCTGCTCTCTGATTCTAGAGGTCACGACCTTGTTCAGTGCCTCAAACTCAACTTGTATCTTCTATCTCAAGACCTGAGTACACACAGAATACCACTCCCTGCCTGTTCCCCAACACTTCCCTCACTTTAGCACCTGATTTCTTCTATATAGGCCCATTTCTCTCTCCCATATTAGATCAAATGGCACTTTCTCTGAAAGAAAAGCCCCTCACACACCCTCTGACCCTCACCTTTTTCCAATATCCTGCCCTGGCTGCAAGTACCCTGCCCTCCTCCGCAACCGTATAGGGATGATTTCTGTATGCAATCATTCACTAAGGTCTGCTTCTCCTGTGGAGAGCTTCATCAAAGTAGAGGCCCTATCTGTTTTCTCACCGTTGTATCTGTAGCACTGAGCACACAACATGTTGATGTTACTGTTAGCCACCAGTGAATCTACTCTCCAGCCTGCTAATAGTGATTCCACAAACAGCAGGGGGAGATGCTGCTGGGTACTGCACCATTCCTGTGATGGGTTTTGGATTACACTGTTGTGATCTGTAGAGTTTATTGGCTGACTTTCAGAAGTAGGGTGTAAGGTATTTCCTTTGAGTCCATCTTTATCTGGAAACTATACCAACCTGTTGAGTATTACAGCAACACACAAACCTACACTAGCAGATGGCGGTGGCTGTGCCTGGGGTTTACTGACTGGGAATCAAACGTGGATCTCTCACATGAAAGCCAAGAGTTCTGCCACTGAATCACCATGGCATATAGACCATTAACTGTCAAGTGAAGAAATGCATTGGTTCAATTCCTATGTGACTTGGATTGTTGTGGTTACGTGCTGTCGAGTCGACTATGAAACAACAACCCTATGAAGAAGAGAGCTAAATTCTGTACTATCCTAGGCCATCCTCACACTTCCTGCCATACTAGTGCCCATTGAATCAGTCATTATGTAAACTCACTTGATTGAGGTTCTTTCTCTGTTTCATTAATCCTCCACCTTTCCAAGTATGATGTCCCTCTCCAAGGAATAGCTTCTCCTAGCAACATGCCCGAATTATGTAAAACAAAGCTTTATCATCTTTGCCTCCAAGGAGCACTCTACCTGCACTTTATTTTCTCCAAGACATATCTGTTTGTTCTTTTGACAGTCCATGGGATGTTCAGTTCTCTTCTCCAACACCACAGTTCAAAGACATCAATTCTTCCTCTGTCATCCTTATTAATTGTCCAGCTCTCAGATGCATGGCAAGTGATCAGAAAGACCATGGCCTGAATCAGATGAACCTTAGTCCTCAAACTGACATCATTTCTCCTCAATAAGGTGAAAGTCCCCAAATGCAGACTTGCCCTGTGCAATGCATCTCATGATTTCCTGACTGCTGGTATCAAGAGTGTTAACTGGATCCAAGTAAGATGAAATTATTGGCAATTTCATTCATTTTTCCATCTATAAAGATGCTGCCTATAGGTCCAGTGGTAAGAATTTTTATTTGATGTTGAGATGTAATCCATATTAAATCATATTCTTTGATCTTCTGCAAAAAGTGCTTCAAGTCCTCCTCACATTCAGCAAGTAAGCTTGTGCCATCTGCATAACGCAGGTTATTGATGAGTCTTCCTCTGATCTTGATGCCACATTCTTCTTCAAAGTCCAACCTCTTAAAGTATTTGCTCAGCATACAGGATGAGTTGTGGGATGAAATAAAGAATATCAGCCATGACGAAAGCATAAGATGATTACAAAGACAGAAGAGAAAGGAAAAAAACCAAAATAGATGTCCCAAGAGACTATGAAAACTGTACTAGAGCATCAAAAAACCAAAATTAAAGGGAAAACAAGACAAAGTAAAAGAGCTGGAGAGAAGATTTCACAGGGCAGCTAGAAAAGACAAAGTAAAGTATTATAATGGAATGTGCAGAGAGTTGGAATCAGAGAATAAAAAGGGAAGACTTTGCCTGTATTTGTTAAGCTGAGAGAACTGAAAAATATAAGCCTTGAGTGGCAATATTGAATGATACTATGGGCATTATATAGAATGACTCAGAAAGCATCAAAAGAACTGACTGACACTGAGAAATTTCAGGAAATACTATGTGAGTGGAAGTCAATGGTAATGAAAGAGGAAGTGGAAGCTGCATTGAAGGCACTTGCGAAAAATAAGGCCCCAGGAATAGATAGGATACAAATTAACATGTTTTATCTAACAGATGAAGCCCTGGATGCACTCACCAGTCTATGCCAGGATATTTAGAAGATAACTGTCTGGCCAAAGGGTTGGAAGAGGTCCGTATTTGGCCCATTACCAAGAAAGGTGATCCAACAGACACTATCTAACAATATGATTAATAATACATGTAAGCAAAACACTGCTAAACATCATTCAAAATATGTCTTGAACAATACAGATAGGGAACTGCCAGAAGTTCAAACAGGATTTAGAAGAGGCTGTGGCACCAGGGAGATCATTGCTGATGTCAGATGGATCCTGGATGAAAGTAAAGAAAACCAGAAGAATGCCTATTTGTGCATTATTGACTATGCAAAGGTTTTTGAGTATGTGGATCATAACTAGTATGGTTAACTTTAAGAAGAATGGGAATTCAAGAGCACTTAAGTGTGAGAAACCTACATCTAAAATAGGAGGCTATTGTGCAAACAGCACAATGAACACTATATGTTTTAAAATTTGGAAAGAAGTATTCTGTAGACTTCTGTTATGAGGCCCTTGTCTGCGATTGTATTTCCAAATGTTTGTTCCCAGTTGGTAGGTGTTCTTTTTACCCTATTGAGAAACAAAGGTTTTGATGCACACAGGGCTTTACTGTTTAGAAGATCCCACTCATCTATTTTATCCTCTTCAGATTGTACATTTCTGACTGTATTTGGCAGTCTATTTATACTGTAGATTAGGCCTTCTAAGCTTGATCCCAGTTTGCCTCTTAGGAATTTTTGGTTTTGGGCTTTACTCCCTGGTTTCTGATCTACCTTGAGTTGATTTTTGTGTATGGCGTGAGATGTGGATCCTATTTCAGCTTTTTGTAGATAACAGTCCAGTTTTGCCAACACCATTTGTTGAAGAGGTTGTCATTTCCCCATTTGATAGGTTTGATTTCCTTGTTGAATATTAGTTGACCATAGATAGCTGGGTCTACTTCTGGTTCTCAATTCTGTTCCTTTGGTCTATGTGACTGTCACTGTATGAGTACCATGCTGTCTTGGTTACTATCACTGTGTAGTAGGTTTTGAGATCAGGGAGTGCTATGTCTCCCACTTCATTTTTGTTTCTCAGAAGTGTTTTCCTTACTTGGGATCTCTTTTCTCTCCAAATAAACGTGACAATTTCCCTTTAGATCTCCTTGAAAAAGGAATTTAGTATCTGTATTGGGATTGTGCCTTGAATCCAGGTTGGGATTCCTCTGCAGCAGCCAGATTCTACAGAG